GCTTTGGTTCAGACGCCAATGCGAACGCAACCAGAAGCGAATTCACTTCGCAAATAATATACAACGAATCACTGAAATGTGGTACCTTTTACGAACTTCAAACAAATTTGTGATTTCAGCGGGTTCACGTTTGACCGTTGGCACTGAGTACGAACTGGCCGTTACTTCATAATGTAAGCATTCCACCCAAGCTTTTGACGACAAGTTGCACTAACACTAAGATCAGGCAGATAGTGAACTCTTTCTAAATAAATAAAGTAATAAAATGGTTTACAAGTACTGAAGAACAAAATATTAATATTTTTGCTGGGAGAATATGAGATTTCATCAAGGACAGGAGTCAACCGAACCCAACCTGCTTGGAGAAGAGGATAAACTTACTAAATGAGTCACGAAAAGGGTATTCTCTGTCATTCCAAAACAAGATAAGATAAGATGAGTAAAAGTTGTTTCACTTTTATTGTACGCAGGTCTATTACGAATTGGGAAACATCAAACTCATGGAATTGAAACACTAACATACATGACAATAACCGACCTGGAGAATCCCGAATTATCAAGGATGATAATACTGGGATATACTCGTTAGAACGAACGTAGATTAGAAATAACTGCACACAGTTATATTTTAGACCTTCAAGGTTCCACTCATATTACATTCAATTAATAGAATCAGTTTTGCACTTTCGGTGGGAATTATTTCAAACAAATATAAAGAAATATTCTTTCCAAACACGGACCACGAAGTTCCCAACTTTTCAAGACTCTTAATGATTGACGGTTGGCAGTGTCAGGTTTGTTTCCTTTCAATTGCTTGAGAATACAATTTTCTTTGTCAAAAAATAAATGATAAGACAAGGTATCCAAAGAACGAAAATATATACATTCTCGACAAAGCGGAAATTGGGCTAAAATTAGAAATACCTCAAGATAAAAACTTTTGTTCTCTCGACGAAAGCAAACAAACTGAATTCTAAACTAGGCAGTCATCTAAATTGGGCAGTCACCGTTGATCTATAAATGACAATAAGGTTCATGTCAACACAGACGTGTGACACGCCTATCCGTAAGTGACACGGGGGTGAAGAGCCATTGTATTGTGCATATCATCAGGACTATTTTTAATCAAATTGTTTGCTTGCTAAGTAAATAAGCATGAAACGAATGCCTGGATCCAACTGCAAAACACGTGTAGCCGGTAAGATAATTTCGATATTATTAATTTTGAGGATAAAGTAATCCTTTTTTAGAGTTTTTTTGTCCGCTATGGCGTTAAGGTACTGCAACGAAATGGAGAGGCCTCTTTTTTTCTCAGTTTTACCACAAAACAAAAGTTGCAATTTATCTCGGTAAACATGTTGAATACCTGCTTGAACGGTAGCGTGATGGAGACTAGTCCGGTAATAAGCAAGGCTCTCCTGATAAGCAACTAAAGCTATCCATTTTGATGGCTTAACCAAGCTTCGATAATGTTAAATGAAGTCAGTGTAGACCCCAATCTTTTCCTGTGGCAATTTCAGTTGATACGTCATTTGTTTCAATTTGTATTTTATTGGCTAAAGTTGGTCTTCTTTGTCTTGATGTACGACTTGAAGTGGGTAATACTCTAATCCAGCTTAGACGATCATCGTGGTAAATTTACTTCAACAAATGGGATTTATGTTGGTGTCTTGACTAGGCACACCTCAGTGAATGAGGACTGGGCCTATAAACTGGTTATGTGAAAGAATGACGTCAGAACTGATATAATTATAAAAGTATTGCATAGGCCTATTGATGCATGGTCAGTGGAAAATGATGGGGAGAATTACCTCATCTTCTTATGGTCTCATGATCAATTGATTATCAATGCTACCTCAGGAGTCATTTACACAGAGACGTAAACGTGAATCTGGGACACCTGCACGATCTTAAAATTGAAGTGAACATCGTCAAATAATGCGGATCTCCGGGTGCACTCGAAGTTGTCGTATGTCTGGGTAGTGTATCACTGGAGTGCGTGCGTACGTGAGACCTGACATGTCGGCAAGTGGAGCGATCTCTGTTATTAGGCTTTTCAACTGACCTGATTTCAGAGACTGGTCCTGATTTGTTGCTCCTGACGTTGTTGTAAAGTTATGGACACAATAAATGTACTGTTACGAAAAACGAGTTCATTTGACATCTTTGCAGTGTTGTTTTAAGTAGAGAGCAAAGATCCCTAAAACTGCATGATTCAACTTTCTTAATTGAATGCAATTGAGTAGAACATAGGCCCGAGGAACCCTAACACTTGCAAAGAAGGAAACAAGGCAACAAATTTGATTGTATTTGACTGACTGTGTCAATTAATTAAATTATTGTATTAACGTTAGACTGTTAAGTCACTGACTGTTAACTGATTAAGTCATCCTTTCATTGTATCATAGTTTTAAATGTTTATTTTAATTTGGATTTATTCTATTCATCTTCTAATGATTTAGGTGGGGGGTGTAAGCGGTCTTGATACTGCGTGCCGTGAGGCACGCGGCCCTACGAAGTAGGAATCAAGTTCCGGACATTTTTCGTAGATACGTGAGGGTGACTCAGTCACAAGCGCCGTTTTGTTTACTCATATAATACAAAGCGCGTCACCTAAGACAACAATGAAAAGTTTGTTGGAGAAAAGGTTACCGTTGAATTTAGTTCATTGTATATATTTCATTTCAGGAATTTGGAAACAATCGTATAACTTTCCTCTTGACGTTGTTTCCTTTTATTGAAAGTACTAAAAGAAAGTACTTTTAAAGACAATTTACCTTTTGATTGGAACTGTTTTTGTATTTTCATTAAATAACAGTTCACAGCCTCACCAACTTCGCAATCCCGTCATTAGAGTAACTATTAATGTTTTAGAGGCAGCCGCGGAACACATTTTTAACACAAGCGAATGAACTTCTGCTTGTACACAGGTTGTATAAATTTCAAAATTTCAAATTAGGGCAGGGGGGCCTTACGCACTTCCATCGGCCCCCTGCCCCTCATCTTCGTAGTTACGCCACTGAATATCGCTTTCCTCAGCATATGATCTCACTGTAACAGATTTTCTGCCATAGAAATGTGCACTATTTTCGCCGGGACCAATGATGTGTGTTTGTTATAACCGAAATTTTGTTATTGCCGATTTTGTAATAGCGAGCATCGAATATATGACTTATTTAACAATGTAAGGATTAATAATTGCATATTCAACCTTAAGAAGTGCTGAAGGGCTTGTGCAATGTATTTTAAAATGAAACTATTGGAAGTGCGCCTCTGTGCCCCATTACTTTCAAGTTTTTGTTTGGAAATCTTATAAACAGGTGTTTGAAATTTCACTGAATTTCACTACGCTCATGCAAACCTGCAGATTCAGTAGCATAACTGTGATGTCATCCCAGGAAGAAATTTCAATATTGCATATATTATTCACCAAACTTTGCCAGAATCATTGTCTCAAAATGTTCTTTTCTGTGGTAATTTACTGTTGTTTATGGTAGTAAGCCAGTCAACAAAGTTTTCTTTAAATGACATTTTTATTGAGCCAAGTTTTGAAAGCAAAAAATATTTTCAGGAGAGCAAATTCTGAATTAAGAATTTGAGCAAATGTTTTCGATGAGTGACATCAACTTGACATCGCCCTCGTCCATCCAGAAAAGCATGGACAATTTGAATACTGGATAAGCACGATAGGTGCTCTTTTAATACGATTAACCAGAATTATCACATGTGCTTTTATTCGTGAAAGGATCAAAAGCGGTGTCTGAGAAACAACATTAAAGGAAGTTTGCTGCTCTGCGAAAGTCGAAAAACTGGTCGTCGTTGTGGCACTGCGTCGTGGAAGAACCGGACAGTTAATACTGTACATGCGTATCTTGAACATTGGCATAGCTGAGGGTTTTTTCACAGGTTAAAAAAAATCCTGGATGATTGTACCCGTCCCCCCAAAAAATCACGGCTGCGTCACTGCCAGGAAAATTATTTCAGTGAGCAAGAACTTTGTTGTCAGTTGCTGATGCATGTGGCGAGTATTTTTTTCATCGTTACAATTTTACATCAAAGATTTGCAATGCTTGGACGTAAAAGTTTGGCGCAGTATGGGGCTCAGAAGCTCTATCCTAAATGTCTGCACATCCACGGAGTTAAAATTGAAATTATATTGGGCATTGACACAATTCTCTTAATTTGTAGTAGGTAATTTGTAAAAATTCAGTGTTGCTCAACGAAACTGATCTGTATTCATTAGGTTTACCAACTACAGATTCCATGCAAACAATAACTTATTGATATTCCTTCAGAAAAACCCACACAAGACGAATTCGAGAATCGTTAGACAGAAACAGATGATGCCTCGAGATGTCACAAGGCGCAGGAGGCGTAAAGGCGCAAAAGCTTAAGAATTTGGTTCATGAAGCGAAATTTAAAATACGCGTTTTTTCTTTTACCATTCTTATTTTTAAAAACTTGTCAGTAAACCTATAAAATACCTTTCCTCATTGTGACTTTGTTAATGAGAAATCAAATCCAGCGGTAGTAATCCATAAAAAATAGAAGACGAAATGCAGGATCTTTCGGTGAAATTGATGAAAGAGGATGACACTGCTCAACCAGTGCTCTTCTTTTTGACGAAATGCACGAAATGCACGATCTTTCATTCAAGGTTAATCCTTAGGCATTGATATGGGGAATCTTGACTGTATGGTAGATGCCTCCTTCGGTGGAATTGATGGAAGAGGATGACACTGCTCAACCAGTGCTCTTCTGTTTGACCTCCAAGTCACTGGCTTTCCGGAAAGTTCAAGTGGCGTATATTCTACACTCTCAAGGGACCTCGGTTACAATTAAAACTTAACTACACAGATTTTTATAATTTTCATATTGTCGCACACTCTCGTTAAAGCAACCAATAGGACAGCGATTGTTAAAGTTGCAGTGCACCAGTTAGAGTTCCTAAATGTTGCGGACATCCTGCGGAACTGTGGTGGCTATTTTGGTCAGGGAAATTGCTTCCGGGTAACGAGTTATAAGAGTGGCGAAGTCTCTGGAACAGCAAAGAATCAGGTGTGGTGCTATTCAGAGAGCAGCGAATCAGCAAGCATCATACAAAGACGTCAAAGCTATTACAGTATAAATTCACGATCAAGAAACAAGCATGAGGGTAAGCTTTGAAGACGTTTTCAGGTCTTTGTTTTTATAAGAAATTTGGTATGAACTTCTTGTGCCACGTTGATTACAAGGTGTTTTCATTTATTTTCGGCCCTTTCATATTTTTTTCAGTATCTTCTGAGGTTTGTATTAAACTTTGATTTTAAGCAGAAATGGGTGTTGAGAATGTTGAGCGACTACTCTCCGTCTGCATTTGTCAAAATGGAGGCTTGCATGAAACTTATTATCAGCAAAGACTGATGTCAAAGATAATCTCCTTGTGCAAGTTTTTTCTCCCTACATCAAATTGTCATTTATTTTCTTTGAAATGCTTTTGTAATTTGTTATTTTGCTTAACGAATAGGTTTGATACTAGCAGCCTTCTGCAAATCCGTCCTCGCATGACACGGCCTCTTCGTTGGTGCTCCAAGTCTATTTTAACTAAATGAATGAAACAAAACAGTATCAGCACGTCATTTTATACGAGGATTAGGCCTAAGGAGGGAACACAACTTCTTACAGGGCCCCCGCGGTCTAGCGCCTCCTGGCTACGCCACTGACCATGTCGTACGTGTCTAGTTTGGAGGCAAATAGCTCTGGAAATTTTTGGACCAACTTGACACATTCCCCAAAAGACCACTTGTTAATAAAAAGCACAGAAACGCGCGTAAACTATAGTTTATAATTGAAACGGCTGCCGGATTCGGCTACGGTCATTTTTTAGTTATTTGTGTATCTTGTGCACATGTCTTAACGCCACATTGGCCGCCTTTCCAAGAGAACCTACTATTTTGTCCGCTCAGAGTGTCACACTCCTTTGAAGATCCTGTACAATTTCAATGAAGACTCTCCGCAGCACACGGCTCGGACAAAGGGCACACTAAAAACACGTCTACCTTCATGGGAAGGTGCTTGAAATTTCAGCCACGCCGTCCTTACGAATATTGTGTACGGTGAACTTTGAATGGGAGCAGTTTTAAGTCACCTTGATGCTGAAATTGGACAATGTTTTTTTCAACACGAGGCTAGGCACTTCATACCGGGCTTGCCTGGGCACAACGGTCAGGCTCCTATCTAAACGCAATCCACAGAGTGAAAGTTATTCAGCTTAAAATAGGCACAACCAGAGAAACGGAAGAACACGTGTAAAACTGCAGGCAAAACTTACCGGAAATGTGACTCCTGCTCACGACCAGTCTGTCGTCATTCTCACAAAACTGAAAGGATCACAAATCAGACAGGGGCAGCCACACTGCTGGAGGGATAGGAACTTTTTTAATAAATGGAGCTCATTAAAGATTCACTGGAACATTTTGCCAAATTTGATGAATTTTAGGCTAGGCTCACCACATGAGTTTGACCGATGTTTTATCCCGGTGTTATTATTTTAATTTTTATCTGAGCGCTTAGAAAAAAATCCAAATGTGAACATCTTTTCCATTTATATCGCTAAAAGTTTCGACAATCCTACGTTTTGGGAAGTTGAAGATGACGGTTCGGTTGTTTAACATTTCCGTCCAGTAGCTTTCAAACGATCTTAAGACTAACGGCAAAATGGTATTCATATTACTGAACCGCTTTCTGAAAACTGAACATAAGTTTTCTCTATTTCATTTTCCCTTGGGGATCATTGTTAGTGTGCCTTGAAATTCTTACGGGACATTGCTGCATATAATTTGGAATCCTATATACGCGTGTACGGTCGTATTTCTGAGCGATATACGTGGTTTAGTTCAAAGAACCCCGTCCTCAAATGGAGCGTAACCCGGTCAACATCCCCAGACTTGCATCTTCAAGGGTGTCAACCGATTTACCAGATGATACGACTGAAAAGTAATATTACTGACTCATGAAGCCACCTGTAAATGTGTATAAATTACGACAGATGCCAAGCGTATAGGAAAAGCTGTACTCAGGAAGCGTGGGCGAGTGGAAGTTATGTGCCATACACTGAAGTCTACAAGTCTGGTGTCGATTCATTGTTTAATAGACATCATCAAAATTACTGAGCAGATAATAGGAACGGCTTTTGTGAGTAACACTCCTCCGTACTGTTTCTTCGAACAGCAGTGACACCGAGATCAGAAAAAAAAAACAAATAATTATACAGTCACCCTCGTTCGGAAATTCTTTTCACCTTAAGTGCGTTGTGGGCTCCGCACCTAGGACAACGAGACCCATAAATTCTCAATGTTAAATACTTTCCTTTGATAGCCCAATCATTCGTGACAGTTCGACTACCCGACCCACCAAGGCATCAAGTAATGAATGATACGCGATCCCTGGGGGTCAATTGGGTATTTCACAAAAGCAGCTACAGACTGCACAACTTCCTCGGGAAATACTGTGCACTTTCAATGCAGTGGATTCAAGAACTGGATTCTGTTCAAATCTGATTAATTTGCAGGTTAGCATGACGACGGTAGCCATGACAGTAACACTTCTACTGGTCAGCACTGCAACTACGGGTATTCCTCTCAAGACTTCAAAAGCAGAAATTGTCACAGACACGGGATTAAAAACTACGGACAACCAAACACCCCCAAAACATGGAAGTATACATCAGAATGAACGGATGACTAGTAAAGACGTCGTGAGCCCAATTGCACAATACGTCAACGATGGACAAGACTTGAGTGCCTCAGATTCAGGTTAGAAATTATACAGCTATTCAGTCTTTGATATTCCTATGCGATATGTGTAAGATAGTAAAGAGAGATGTTCATGAATGAGCGAGTGAAACCAAAATACGGACTTTTAATGGCATTAGTGTTGGTTCCTGTAGTTTTTCGCTAAATGGGGATGTTTATACAGTTACCCTGGCATTTTTACAGTTTATACGCGTTTTCAGTATTCGGTAATGCGTCACATGTTCAGTATCGATTTACTACCCTCTAAGGATGACCAACTCTTACGCTAACTCTCAAGGTCAAGCCTGTCCTGACAGCATTACTGAAATCTATATGGTGCTTAGAATCACCAGTATACTTTTACTACAAATTTGAATTCCAAGTACCCAAACTTGACGCCTACCCACATCTCCACCGATCACCTTCAACCCAAGAAATCGTTTAACTACAAAGACTGAATATCCTCCGTGGGCAGACCGTGTTTCATGATCCCACAAAACCTCTCGAAATAAACGTCGTACTCACGCATCGTATTTCTCATCTTTCGTTCTAAGTATAGCGGACAGTGCGCAGTCATTGAAACCCACTTGACTTTTGGCGTGAACCCCATTCACCACTAGTCTAATTATTACACTTCACTTTTAACAATTTTTTGTAATGCAGACAATCGCCAACAGAGGACAAGTCCACTAGTCTCCGAAAGCTATGCAGATGACGAAAAGGTCAGGTCTTTAAAAATATGATTGCCGGGACCTAAGTTTGGCCGTGTAATTAAAATAGAATAACTGAAAATTTATTTGGAATGTGTTGAAAAGTATATTTCAAGAAAATCCACCAATGAAAATTAATTGTTATCCAACATCAATTCTAATTGTAAATAACTCATATTTAAAAACAAGTGGCGATCAAGTTTCCCAGTTTATCCCTTTCAACATTTTGAGCGTTAAACTGAGTGACAACCATGTCGCAGCGTGTGAAATTCACAGCCTGTGAATCTTTGTAATGAAAGTCCATGAGAGCATAAAGTTGCAAATTCTAACAAGCTGTTTGTAATACTGTTGGGAAGAGTGAAACATATTAAACAAGAAGTATGCACTTAGCGGGAGCACGTTGAGCAGGAGTTGGTTATCAGTTTAGGTGAACGAACTTCTGCAGAATGTGAAACTACAGGGACTAGAAAATGACACTGATTTAGTTTTAAAAAGAATTCCTTTCAGTTGAAATTCAGCGAAATATTGATCTATTATGGAGTGAAGAAATTTTACTCGAATTATTCTGGGCCCTAGTTAACTTTCAATCAGAAACAGTGAATTGTCACTTTAAAGGAGTGGATTTTCACTCTTTGGAGGTTCAAGAGTACAGTATATATACTTTGTGTGCTCACTCGCTTCCTGCACTTGGTGTAAAATTGCCTTAATACCCGCAAACACAATGAAAATAGAATTTGCATTCAGGGCTCCACTAACGCCTCATTTGGTCTCAAAACAACGTCTGTAATTACTGACACAACACTGACAGAATTTTTACTCAATCCAAACAGAACCAAATACCGACTAGAATTCGCAGGACGTCCCAATGCAGAAGGCAAACAGACGATGAATTGATGGATATACTTCAAAGCTTAGGACAGGTCAACACAAGATACGCGGACAAGTCACACCAGGGTTTCACCAGCCTTATGTCATTTGGTACAAATGAGGTAAAGTGGAACTTTAATCAGAATTGGGAAGAGGCGTCCAACTTTCCAATTCGCAGTCCCAAGAAAATAGACAGCTTCAGTGTAAATAGACGTATTAAAAGGAGGGTGCCCAAGACTCTAACACATTAAAAAAATTTCATTCTCGTATTGCGATTTTCGCATTCGGAATTAATTTGGGAATGTACAAACGTACAGACGTTCATTGTTCCAATAGTTCAGCACCCCCCCATTTCGACTTACTTGCGTACACTTTAACACATGCACCAATTTTATTTTCAAATGGAATTTGCCATTTTTTTGGTAGCAAACGGTCATAATTGAATCGGGTGTTAGTAATGTAGGCCTATGTGACAAAATTGTTAACTGACAGAGGGAGGACCCTCAAAGTAGCAGTAATACAGAATGCAGTTTCATACATACTCATATATATGATACAGTCATTCGAACTTGAACTTTTGATCGTTAAACTGACAGGAACTAGACAGACTGACTAAGCTCCAGATTGAAGCGGCACTTCGAGGCAATCCAAGTGCCAAGGAATCTCTGCCGCATCCGCACATCAATGCTATCCGAACCAACCTTGTTACACCGGAAGAAGCGAATGTCCCCCGGATCAGAAGATCCGTTGTAGGTCAGTAGGCAAACTGACATTCAGTCTTCATTGCCTTGTAGTATGCTATTCTTATGACAGTCACGTTTACATAGGATATTTCCTGAAGCGACACGCTTGTGCTGATCGTTTACTTTCCAAACAATGTTTCGGCTGATTTCGGTCAAATTTGCGTTGATTATTTGTCGAAACCCATTTCTTATGGTGACCAACGTACATTAGATCACCTAAGGATTACAATATGATTTCCCTCATCATCGTGATCCGATTAATACCATTTGAATCTCTACACGTTACCTCATAATTATAAAGTGTATCATTCCATGGTCAGGTGTAGTTCCAAACGAATAATCTAGGAAAAGTATATGCATGGATAGGAAGTGGGATAGTGGTTGTAAGTGATTTATACTTTTCGAAACAGGCTAGGTCTATAACCTAGAAACCAAACCTGTACTCTCTTGGCCTTTGTGAGAAACTTTGAGAAGCACGACTGTGACGTCGTTCAATAATCCACGCAAAGCACTCCTTTATTTGAAGGTGGATAGGATACAATCTGAACTGAACTCCAGCAAATCTAGAGTTTATATTTCATGGAATAAATAAGATAAGTGACCGATTTTAATCCTATTATTAATCCTATTTCGACCCAAGCCCTCGCTGACCATGTCACTGATTATTTACAGCGGCCCACGCTCATAAACATTTGTAGCCCCCTAATGATCATTGCTACTGTTTCGTGTCACTTGCTTCTTTACAAAACTTCACAGTGGTTTCCACCTGAAAGAGGCCATTGGAAATATCCAGTAATACATTGCGTGTTTCGTCCATACACTGGCTCACTCAATGTGAATCTCGAAATGAAGAGACGATTTCATCCATAATTCATGCTCCCTACAAACCGTCATTTTTTACGTCGCCGTTTGCTTCAAATATGTACTTCTCAATATCACATTTTTGCGTTTTGTGGCCATGGGGCATTTTTAAGGGAATACAATCCACGAACCTGTTTCCATTTACTGGCTCATGCGTGTTGTTGACTGCCGTGAAGCTTCATCGTTGCTTCAGTGTAACAGTAACAAAATAATGATAAAACCGCCCAAAAAAAGAGTTAAAATTTGTGTGAAAGGTCGCCTATTTATCAGCAATGGTTATTTTCTAGAAAAATGCAAAATAATTACTTCCATGCTTCCTTTAATTAAAATAATTCAAACTGATTTCGGAACAAATTTGTCAGAACCAGCCGGCATTTAAGCCAAACATATTCTTATTAAGCTTACTTTGTAGTATTGAAACAATTGAAGTTTTAGTTCTTCACGTGGAACTGTACGGAGTATCCCTGGGCTAATTTTCAGAATGCCGTTTCATGTGATTGATGTGTTCTTGTCTGCAGGGACAACAGTATCAAATTTCTGCATTTTGAGTGGTCAGGAGGCTACCCAAGGTTTTATGCGCATGTGTGACTCGTGCCCCGCAACAACTGAACTTTCAGACGATCTTTTCCCGCGCTACGTCAACGAAGTCGTCTGCAGCAGCAACACAGATTGTCTTTCAGGTAGACTTATTCTTTTGTGTTCTAATTGCTACGATATAGATTTATGGGCAATCCAACTTTTCTTGGTAGGAGGTGTTAATGTTGTAGAACAGAACAAAAATACCCCCACCCCCCCAAAAAAACAATAATGTACGTATTCGGTACGTTTGCGAAATGGGTGTAAACTTATGCGACGATACAATAGTGAATGGTGTGATGTGAATAAATACAATGAAGCAATGAAAGCTTTTGGATGGACACATTCCCCAAACCTAATGTCATGTGCATGTCCAAGTAGAAGACGCTGAAGTAACATTTCAAGGAAATTTGAATTTTCTGAAGGTGGACCTCGTGAAGAGTTTACTCGTTGCTATAGGTCAATCTCAACACATAATACTTCAGGTATACACTCAAAAAGGATGCTAGACACTGTGAGCACCTTCCCTAAGTCACAATTCCAGACAGTGAACTTCTTTTCGGATGTTCCAATGCTTGTCAGGTGGTGGTCGATGCAGTGAGAGGACATTAAACATCACAGTACTCCGGCGAACTGAACACTGCTCGGTGGCCGCGAACACGTCTACAACAGGCCAAGTACTGTACGTAGAGGACTGGGAACCTGCAGAACAACGAATCAGGGTGGCCTGCGAATGCGACGTCGGTATCCAATCTGTCTTTGCCACTTACGTATGACGAAGTCAAATCATAAGCTTTCAATTGCTCATGCAGAATTGTTTTGCGATATTGATTGATCTGTTGTATTTTTATGCACTGCCTGTCCTAGACTACAGATGAAGCAAATATGGGGAGTGCATGTACTTGAAATGTGTCTTGAAAGCTTCCGAGCCAACAGTCAATAACTCCCCCACAGGGTTTAATGAACTTATATGTACATCCAATGTTTGGAAATTACTTTGACCGTTTTCTTCGTGTTTTAGTATTGAAATAGCAGGCTTTCCCGCTCGCTCTTTTTGCTTTATCCAAACGTATTCTGCCGTTTCCTGAAAAGTGCAACAGTAGCGTGCTGCAATATGTTTTCATATTATGTAGCGTAAATTACTGTAAAAATTCATTGCTGTATTCACAGTAACAAATTTAATAATTTCGATTCTATTGTTAAGTATTTATTTCTATTTAGTACGAAAATTGCTTTGATCATGTGATCCAGTCTTTCAGCATTAGCGGAATGATGTCTGACAGTTTTCAATCGATGTGTAGGCCTACTATAGTGTAGCTGACAAGTGTAAAAATCTGTCTGTTCTTTCTAAAAATTTGTTTTCACTGACAGTAAATAAGCATGAATTCTAACGTGTCGTGGTCCCTTTTCCCATCCAGAGCCAAACACTTAAACGTATAATACGGGCGTTTCACAACAGTGCGCCTCCAAGAGTTTGCAAAGCGTTGGCCAATCACATCGCGCGAAATCTGTCGACCCTTTCCAAACGCACATTGGTTCGACAAATTTTGCACATTGTGATTGAGCAGCGCGTTGCAAACTCTTGGAGGCGCACTGTTGTGAAACGCCCGTAAGTTGAAGACAAAATTGCACCCGTGTTCTCGATCGCGCATGCATCGTAAACGTAAATAGACATTCCAAACTATAGCAATCTTACACGAGGAACGAGCAGTCTACCGGGTGTAACATCTAACTAATTTGTTTCAGCCCTTTTTCGGGTGCTGCCTCTGTAGTTTGAAATATCCTCTCTTTTCGTAGACCTCGATGGCAAGTCTAACTTGGATACAACAGAGATTTTACATGTACATGTATACATACCTGTGCAAAGGAAATACAAAACATTTCATTAGGTCCTAATTCAGATCAAATACAATTTTAACTCTAGATTTATTCTTCCCTGTATACAGCTGTGCTGTATTTCTAGTACATAGCATGAACACAAAAACCAAAACACCCTACAATAATTATTATACACCTTGGTGGATTTTATTTTAAGTAAACATTCATGGGCACAGATAAAGGGACCAAGGGAGATAGAAGTCTTGTGTAAAATCCATATCTGATTTAAGGTATTTTATAAGTGGACAAAACAGTAGGCAATACCAAACACTGAAATGTGTTATCCATGCAGAACAGTCACGTATAATAAGTCACTGTTTTTCACGCAGTAACAAAATATAGAGTTAATTTGCAATATCGTAATAAGGGTATCATTCCCGCTATAGCTCAAGTGATATACACATAGCTGCATGCAGTAAAAGGTACAGCAGTTATGCTTTGCTTAGAGAGTGCTATAACCTCATTTGTAAAAACAAGCCTTCCTGGTAACATGTTATAAATGTGCTGTGGTATTATAAATACAACGCTAATTATGTTGTTATGTTTACTTTATAAACAAACACGTTAATAAATGGATGTGTTAATAAATTTCGACACAGTGACACATTTGAGTGTCCATAATAAGACACAAAAACACATTTATCGGGTGATGACACTTTCTGAAACCGAAACGCGTATATTTCCACTAAGGTGTTACATTTTAAACGGTTACATATTAACAATTAACGCAAAGACGTTTATAATGGGCACTGACTTTCACAATGTTGCAGTTTGCGAATTTTCATGCCATAAATTTTCTTGTTTAGTCAATTCATCACAAATCTATTTTAATGGCATTCCGTAACTTATGTCTATTTATTAAAGGCTTGACTTATACAACTGACAACCAAAATACAGTATAAAGCGTACTTTTATTTATTTAAGATATGTTATTTATATAAAAAGACAATAAAAAGGACCTATGAACAGCTTGCGACAAATGTATGAAATTATTGCTTAAGTTCATGTGTGTTGAGTGTGTTCTGCCCTTTACAAGGCCCATTCGCTCTTAGCAGTGGAATATACGTATTTTTTTAATACAGTGACTTTTCTCCACTCAAATACTTAGAATAGAAGTAATCAAAGGTGCACTGCAACTGTCAAGGAGATGAAAAAGAAAGCAGAGGAGCTCGTTATATATTCCTGGGGAGGAAAGAGGTAAAGTATAGTTGTAATTCGCTAGACAACAATCAATCTGTCACAGATACTTAACGAAATACGAAAGCGTACATATTTTCCTTTTCAGGTCAAATTGGGGTCGTCCATTTTTGGTAATTTTTACGATCAAACAAACTTTCCACTTGAGTGTTAACTGTCAAGTACCCTTTCAAAAATATTAAAAATGATAATATCCTAAAACCAGCATTTCTCGCCTTTTTAGTCTGTACACTCTGAAGAGGTGAGAATCATCTAGGAAAAGTGCCCTATAAGCGATCATTAAAACGATGCAAACTGAATACCCCTTAATTGTTTTCAAGGGTGGATAGGGGGAAGGGTACACCAAAACGGAGCAAACTTGACAAAACTGAGCAAATGGCGACTTTTGAACCATTTTATTCCGTTTCCTTCCAAATGTATAAAGTCCCAAAATAGCCTCACTCCCAATGGTCATAAAAGGTTACATTACAAAAATCCCCCCCCCGAAAAAAGTTCAACCCCCCCCCTGAAAATTTGATTCGGGATCCGTCATTAATTATTTTGCCGGTCAACATGAACGTGCTTTTCCGATTTGCCTTGAAAGCTTCAAATTTTAATAGACAAGTGCAGAGTTCTCGACCAGCGTGTTCCCCCAAAAGTTACTCCACAAATCAAAGAAAAATATGACTAAGGTATTTGAATAATGAAAGTTATTACTGTGATGCTACAACTTACAGGTTACCATAATTTGCATGGGTATTTTGTTTTGCATGGATATCTTGAATGCGTCTCTCTGGTCATGCATCAATGACGTTCATAATAGCTCCATGATTATACAGTCACCTTTTTCCCAAGGCGGTCTCTGCACTCGGAATTCTGTCCATGGTGTCGATTGTATGTGCATGTGACAGCTATCTGTGACCTGTCCAGTTGGCGCAGACCTTCAAAGGCCGGATGGAGGGGTGTTGCAACTGGGGTCATGTGCCCCCCCGGAAAAAGGCAGAAAGTCTTTTATGAAGAAATGAAGGCCAATATTTTGGCCTATTTCCATATCCTTTCCTTCTTCAAGCATGTAAAAACACCAAAATGTAACCTCAAATTATTCAGAAAGGCCATAAAGAACGTTATTAAAATATTGGCGTCTCCCTGCAAATCTGGTTCTAAATCCACCCTTGCAGACTTATGGCTTTGCGAGTTTCTTCACCATGAGAGTTCTTGTTTGTTCTGCTGTTAATCAACCACTGTAATGCCTGAAATTTTAACACTGATGACCTTGTTATCTCTTTAAGGCGTTTTGCGAAGCTTAGTTGTACAACCTGTTTTATGTGCCACTTTCAGTTGACATGAAATACCACATACCAGCCACCTCATTGGCAAGACCACGAAGAAATTTCAGCTGTGAAACATTAACCTGAGTTGTCTTACTGTTTTCGGCTCATTCATTTGGAATGTTTTCAGACATTTTGTGACAACTTTGAAAAAAGTGTGCCAACCCAAACAAACCTCTTCGACGTTCACAAGGCATTATGGATTTGGATGACAAACAAGCAATCCATTTATGCAAAACCCAATGGAAGAATTGTACCCGCAAAATGTTAATTTGCTTCAATTTGATCACAAATTCCAATTCAAGCCATCCTCTTCTCACACATTGTTGAATTGTAGATTTGGGATAAAGATATTCACAAACTTCAATTTTAAAGCTTACAGAAAAACAAAATTCGTGGAATCCCTTCCACGGAGCACCACTTTTTTCATGGACAATGCTTGGACTACGATCGTGAATATTTATGAGATAGCATTGGCCAACGAGAATCACGACTTGTAGCTTAATCGTTCCGCATCGTCCAATTTGTTCATTTTCAGCCCAGAGTGATGGTGCCCTAAAAACACAAGGGTTATTTTTTTTCTTTCGAACATTTGAAAATTATTCTATTTTCAGAATGTTTCTTGTATACGATACATATACATGTATTTGTGAGGACATAAAAATATTCTGAAGAAAATTATATCTGATTTATGACTGCATGGCTTCCCCACAAGGTTATGCATAAAATGCAAGGCTTATTTGTCATCTAAACCTAATAATTAATTTCGAACGTCAAAAAATTTATTCCGCACATTAAAAAAAAGATGCTCAGTGATGCGTGATCCTCTGAATGAAATCAGTGTATCACGGGAAAGAACGGAGTATTTTCTTAAAGACGATATCAAGCTCTCCGCTTGTAGTCATATAAGTTGGATATAATTCAAACAGATTACCAAAGCTTTTTAATGATAATAGGCTAAAGGGTCTTCCTCAAGCTTGCCTTGGGTTCCACAGCCTAAAAGTTTTGGGTGGCTACTGGATACCCCGTAAAATAGATGAAAAGTTGATGAGTCACCAGCCGACTTCATTTACGGCAAAGAATGACTTAACAGTGAGAGGTTTGATGACAAAGAAATCGACAATATAGTTTCGACCTGTATTGAATCAGATAACAAAATATTATGGATAAACATAGGCTACTTACAAAACTGAGAAAATCTGCCGGTCTGTAAGCTTATCGGAGGCGTGGAGGAAACCTGGTTGTGATAGCTGCAGACTTGAAGCCGTAATTCCGTTTTTACATTGTTCTTTGAGCTATTTGCCGAGACTGAGAATTCTAAAGGATTTGTCACAGGGCCATGACAAAATGGAGGATCTACTTTGCTATCGAAAATTGAGTTGTAATGGATCAGTCATCCTTTTCAATAATATATGTATATTGATCGTGTGGGTGTGAACCTGAATGGCCGAATAGTTTCTTTCTGAAGGCTGCTCGCACTGTCGTCGCCAGCTTGAGAAATGTGGTGTTTTTTTCAATATCACCTGGCCTTACATTACATGCAAAGACGTTCAGACGGAAGCCTATGTCACATTGTGGACTTTCAAAGGATGACCAACCGATGGAAATATGTGTGTGACATAACATGACAGTATCTAGACCACATCTTGATCAACTTCACTTTAACTTCCGAACATTTCAAAAACATCCCAAAATGACACATTCCTTAGAAAATGCTAATGTTTGGAGACGCTGTGTCTAGGATAAGTCACTTAGCTCATTCAATATTTTTACTCAATTTGGTTCAAATGAATTCCGGAACTGACGTATTAAATTTTGACAGGACTACTCCTAAGAGTTACCGTAACTTTTGGGTATAGAGACATTCAGTCAGGATATCCTGTTCAATCTTGAGAAAGGTGATAGATCGGTCCAGCATGACCTTTACCCAAAAAAGTAAGTTCACAGGAAACCTCATTTTTAATCAATTCACTACAAACCTTTGACAATATTTCAAACCCATTAAGAACTCTCATTGACGTCGGGCACAGTGCAGTGAATCTTATAAAAAACGCCTGTGGAAGATATATTAGTAGCTGTCGCACTGACTAGTTTCAACTAAGAGCATGTAGTAACTAAGCTTTTACTTGTCACAATTTTTATGAGATAATTTGTTCCTGCTTTTCCGTGAAGCAAAAGGGTACTTTCTTAATTCAATAGGGGTATGCCCTCATTGACCCATACTTGTTTGGCAGCATTTAAAGTGTGGACATATGCCTGAGAAGAAATTCAGTATATTTTGCCGAAAAAATGTAGTAACCATTATTCGAATTTTCCCAAGAAAGGGAATAACAGCGTTACTTTGAAAAATCCATTTCATACAACACTTATGAATGTACACGTACCAAAGGGAATACATGTATTTAAACATACGTAGGCCTTCATATTCTACACAGACTACAACTAAACTGCGAGTGAAAAACCAACACTGAGAAAAAATAACCATTCCAAATACATATATTTGTACAATACTTTGAAATTGAAAGGGGAAAAAAGTTCACACTTTTACCAGGAAAGTGAATATTCATTTCACAAATTGTGAAAAAGTTTCCCTTCTGTGGGAAAATTTTCACACTGTCTTCCTCTCTGTAAAAAAAAAAGAAATTCGCAACATATTTCACAAGTTGGAAAATTTTTCACACTTTTTTTTCACCAATGGGCAGATGCAACAGCTTTCTTTTCCACAAGTAGGAAAAATTTTCACAAGCGGGAAAAGATATGGATTTTGACGCCTTTTCATACAAGTGGGAAACTATTTTCACACCTTATGAAATAAGAATGTGAACAAGAAAAGTAAATTTTTTTTTACATTTCACATCCCAATTCACAGAGTTAACTTTGATCTGCGAAGTACTGTACATCTATATGTATAAGTATTACAAACTATGGGCTAATCCGATTAGACGCAATAACTAAGGTGGCACCACTGATCTCCTTCATCGGGGAGAGTTTGAAAGTTTAAATTGCGGTCATCACACCAGACCGCGCGCGCGACACGTATGCTGCGCACGGGGAAATTAGTCTGGCCGAAGAATTTGATGCTCTTAATTCTCTCTCTTTTTAAAGGGAAAAATTGCTGAAAAATTGTTCGCTTTTGCACAGCAAATGGATTCCCTCGGTCCGGACTGTTAATAACTGTTAATAACGCAGCTGGACCTGCCTTTCAGTCTTAAGTTCAGGTTTTTAAAGCAAAAATCATACCGATCTCAACAAGCCAAAGCAATGTGAATGTGATTTTGAATGACATGTACTGTACTTGGCATAAATATAGCGGGAATTTTATTTGTGTGGTTTTGACAATATCACTTGTTGTCCAGACAAAATATATAGGGCCTAAACCTTTTTTCAGCGAACAGTTTCCAGTCAAATCTTGGGACCTATATACGTCGCTATTAGTAGTAGGATCTTTTTATTGGAAACTATTTAGTTTACCCGCTCAAAGTTTTTTCAATGACATGATTTATTTATCTTTATTTGTAGAATTTCAAGAAACAAACACTTGATGACTGAAGAGGCATATTCACTGGGCAAAGACAAATAACTTGTGGAGGCCATGATGCCGTATTTGTTCAGAACACTGCCTGCAAGAGCGCGTCCATGATAAGGTTGTGTCAGGGAACAGTTCAAGTAGGGTTTTGTTGACTCTATTAACCTGTTATTATTTGATTTCTTTTATAACGGATACTGTTGCTCATTTTTGAAGCAAACTTTGAACAAAGTTTTTTATTTTGATTTCATGAGCAAAATCAAAGTGATCTTGCCAATTCATAATGTCCTCAATTATGCCTAAGTGTGAGATCGTCAGTTTGTTTGGTCAGTTATGCTTATTTTCAATGTCCATGCTCATTTAAGTTGTATATAACTCTTTAATGTAAAATACTGCTCTTCTTTTACTCTCTCAGGCTCTGTAGTATACATATATGTCAAATCTGGAAACATGCATTTTATTATGTAACAATTAATTGGCGAATAAATAATTTAAAATTTGGAGAATTTTTCTTTAATGTATAAACTTCAAAGGTGTTATGTTGTATAGACCTGCGGTTTGAATAAATTGAGGTGCAAACATGCAGTATAAAGAGAAAAAGCTCTTTGTGCCCGGTACAATGTGCCTTATGTATTACATGCCAGGGTGCTACATGTCTCAACATATAATTATTGTTCTTTACGTCATACAGCTTTACTTTTCGTTGCTTTTAAGAAAGAAAAAAGAAGAAGAACGAAGGAACAAAACTCCGTAATAAAAATCCTGTTTTCTGTCCTGCTTCCATAGTTCTTTTCAACTGTTTGTAAATTCTTCAGTCTGACGCGCACGTCCATTTGGCAAATCACGATACCCTTTTGGTCGAAGAGGCTTGTAACGCGCGCGTACCACCTGTCCACGAGCGTTGTGCCACCGCAGTAATGGCTTCTAATTCTGATTACCAATTCAAACTATACCGATTACCGATTCAAACTATAGGCATACAAAGTAATTACAAAAAAACAGTGGCATTTGACTCCATATGGAGCCAGCATCCACGCCCTAAAAGACATATATATACCTTTGCAGTCAGGCAGGGGCGGATCCAGATCCAAATTGGGGGAGGGGGGAAACCTTTTTGGGGGGCAAAAATTTGGATTTTTTTTTCATTTAATTTTTATGGTCTTTCTGCGTGGTGAGGATAAATTTAGGGGCTTTATACATGTACAATAACGGTACGTGCTTTTACGTATAAGGAAGGGAAGTGAAACGGTTCTCCCAAAATGTTTTTTCCTTGTTATTTTTCAAAGACGAAAAAGTGAACTCCTTTGTTACAGGGACCTCGCATTTCACCCTTGCCCCACCACACACATCGTGCAATGTTTGCCAAGGTTATCATGAAAAGCCAAACATGGTTATAGCTGATGTTAAAAACACACCAGTGTCCATACTTTGATGGGAGCTCCTCAATCAATTCTAAAAAACAATTTTGATATTTTTTGGGCGGTGGTCCCGTTGGCCCCTGGATCCGCCCTTGAATTCAAGAGCTTTAATGGGGTTAAATAACCAATTATTTCCCCTCTCAAAAACTGGAAATCTGGAGGTATTTGTCGCTCTTCCCCACTGTCCTACAGGGGGAGAGCGCAAATGCATGGCGTAATGTTTGTCGAGTACTCAATAGGCAGTGTTTATGCAACATTGTCAACATCCGCATTAATGTACATGTATGGATTAGGACAGTCAGTAAGCCACAATGCTTTGCGTGTCCATGCGATTTACTTGTACGCATACATGAGTATTTCCTTAACAAGCAATAATATTGTGGAACGCATTTGCCGTAAGTTCCTGCGTTCTGTGAGCTTAAGAGCGGTAGGGACGAGCAAGAGGTATGTTATATAAGCGATTTGAAATCAAGGGTGCAGAGCCGAAAACGTTAAAACGTTAAAGTATCATTCAAAGAGGAGTTTGACGAAAGCCAAAAAGCCTTCACAAGCAAACCAACTAACATAATTAATGTAAAAAGGGACTAAAACGGATACTAATCTTTTGAAAAAAAAAGGTTGAAATGCCGCGTTGGCCAGAAAACTGAAGGGTTAGCTCAGTAAACATGTGTAATGTTATAACAAAAGTACATGAAATTCAACAGTGTGAGCTTTTCCCCTGAGAGCGATACAAACTGGAACAGTGCAACCCGGTGCCCATCACCACAAGACCATCTCACAGCTCGGGAAAGTTTTGTTTTCACAGTATTGGAGGACTCCGTTATAAGTATTTAGCAGGTTTCTGATCAGTCGCCTCCAAAGGGCACTTCTTCGTTTATTTTGGCAAAGACTGATTTGGCACTGAATTGCGTCCCTAATTCTTCACACAAGATGCAGTTCCAGAAACTCTGCTCTACTACGGAAAAAGGGCCCCCATGGTTTCTTCGGTGCATCGGCTACGTGATTTGTGCTTCTGCGGTCCAGCGTATTTTCACGAGTCCCTTCCGACACTTCTGGCAGTGGTAAGCGGTCACAACTATTTTGTGGCCTGATGGCGCTGTCGACGCTGTTGACGACGGTGACAGTGTTTGTCTGGTCCGCTGGGAGCGTGCAGTTTGTTTTATGAGGCATTCTTCAAATGGATGTAACGTCCTCTGTGCCCGGAAGTCTTAAGTTTTATCTGCCGGAATAAGAAAGGGTGAAGAACCGTTGACATCTTTTATGCTATACATAGCCAAAGACTAATGCCACAAACCGTGTCTGACGCGTGATGTAAATCTTCTTTTAGCCAGTCTAGAATCAATTCAAAGCGGACCGAACATCTTTCCAGAGATACGAGTGAAACTTTACAGACCGAACATGTTTACGACTGGATTCGAATGGACCGGCAACTCGACCCCAGAGCAAGACAACTTAACCGTCTGTAACTCAAATGGCCAGACATCAAGCCGACCATAGAGACAAATTGTAATGAGTACGCTAGCGTTTATTATAGTCACATCACCAACACCTTTTCTCACAATTAAAAAAGAGAAACGAATGGGCAGACCCATGTTACCAGCCGAGTATCCATAGTACCCAGTGCCCGCTACGTACCTCATGCGTGCAGAGGGGAAGACCTTTACCTTTTGTACGTACGTACATATACCCCCCACACACCCACACTCACCTAAGCAGATAATGCCCCCCCCCCTTTTTTTATAGCTCCATGGGCAGACTAGCACCTGATGGCGCAAATACTTGAAATAGCCTGTGAGTAGCTGAAAGTGCCATTCAAATTAGCAACTGATCATCGGTGCGGCCGAGGCGCCTGTGCACCGTTTCTGCCTCATTTACATTCCCAGCAAGAAAGCTTGGGAGGTAATATAGGGATGGAAAGCATGCCTAACCATGGGGTCTAACACTGCAAACCAGTGGCTAGCGCTTAATCCCCACACAAACCTGTTTCGCAAAATCACACGTTCATGCGTGAGCAAGACGTATTTGTTATGTTTTATTCTTCCATGTCCATGGTACTCCTAACAGGATTTAAGCAGGTATAATACAAGCAATGAATGGTTTGCATTCGTGGAATGGTTAGAATAATTTCATTCGGTGAAAGATGAAATACGAGGCTTCCTAGTGGCACTGAAACAAATGGTAATACGGAATGACATGGAAGAAGAGGCGATGATACTTACCGACGGACTTGCGGTCGTTCGTTCGTTGCTGGCTAGGCGACGAGGACTCCCAGGCGCTAGGCCACAGCCAAGCTGAAATCCAAACACACACAACGCATGACAAGGTTATTACACATGTACATGTACATCAAGGTCGATCTTCACATCAAAGAGAGATGAATTCAAAGTCAAGCCACACACGTCCAAAATGGAAAAGAAACCCAAGGAGACAGACTGCTGCACTCATTTGCAAACAATAGAGGCCAACATTCACCGCGTTCTAAGGGTCAGGTCAGGATTCATATTTATCATGCCGCGCGCTCGTGAAAGCAGTGCAAAACGGTGGATAGACGTGAGTGCCTGGATGTGTGTTTTTGGGGGGGGAGGGGTAGACTTGATTCAAGTCCGTGGTATTTTATTATGCAAACCTGGCACTTTAGATCCACTTCTGTTTACAACGATCTTTAGTTAGTTAACCGGAAAGTTGATAATCCGGAAAGTACATCAAAACATATTTTGACGTGGAATTTTTCACGTCATCAAAAATGTTAACGGCGATGGGCACTGGAAAATCCATTCCTCCATGCCTTGATCAAGGCGTTGGGCGTGTAAAAGTCGACCTTCCGATGAAAGAATACGAACATTGCCTGTGACGTTCATGATATTAAAACCTGCTGGCCAGCTTAGCGCTTATACACGATACACATGTACAATCACGGTCTGTGATGTACCGCAGCGTGGCGTGCATGCGTTTACAAATACATGTATTGTGCGGGAATGTTGTTAGCTATGGGCGGCCATTGAGGCAAAAAGCATAATTATTATTGTAGAGCCCCTTCGCGGCATAGTCCCTCCGGAGGGAAACGGCTATAGAACCCCTCTCCCCCCCTCAAAAGTGGAATAGGCCAAAGACTGCAGGGAGCGCCCGTGACGTAATACGTATTGTATAAGTATTGGCACGTTATGGAGCGTCAAAAGTGGACAACCTCATTTTCGCATTTTCTGCTAGTAGATTTTCGGGATTTTGGACTTTGCGTATAGCATTTTCAAAAAACGCAATTTTCCGCTAGCAGAAATTTGGAATTGACTGGAATTATTGCCTGAATACGTGTTTGGGAATTATTTTGTGGGATGTCAAAATTATTTGAGCAAGTTCAAGTTTTTGAAACTCTTGGCCACTTGATTAAAGAGCACTTAGCTTCTTCTTTTGAGATGAATTTTTCGATTACAACCTGTTTTCGTTCCACAACAAATTCAATTATTCTATTGGAATGGACACAATGGTTTATTCTAGATATAGCATCGTTTATTTTGCGCTCATTTATTTAAAATTGAAATTCCCGACGGCAAGCTACCGCCGTCATTCAAATTACACTGTGTGCTGGGAAGTTAGAAGTTTGCGGTACCATAAAGGACTAGTGTCAGGCTTTGGATGGCCCCTTTCCTATTTGCAAGTTTCTCAATAGGAATCACCCACATTTTTTCCGAGCTGTGACGTCATCACATCCGTCAGATGCGGATCATTGTCCCTCTACCGTTAATGTTGGCTGGCCATCTTCCCAAGACCGTTCCATTCGGAGCGTAGGGAGCACACGGGTCGTTTCAGTTTTCAACTTGTCCACTTTTGGACCACCCCGCCGTCGGCAAAGTAAATCCAAATTTCTGCTAGCAGATAATTGGGTTTTATGGAGAGGGTGATGCAATTTCCAAAAACCCGAACATCTGCTAGCAGAAAATGAGAAAAAGGGGTTGTCCTCTTTGGAGCATCAAATATAATTTGCTAGTGAAGTTTTTAGTTGTCCACTTTTGACGCGCTATGAAGACTTCTTTAAGTAAATTCCCAATTTTTGCTAGAAGAAAATTGAGTTTTTGAAAATGCTTTACGTAAATTCCCCGAACCCGAAAATCTAGTAGCAAAAATGAGAAATGGGGTTGTCCACTTTTGGAGCATGACAGTAGGTTTGCCAGTGGGAATTTAAAGTTTTTAGTTGTCCACTTTTGATGCGCCACAACGAGTTGTTAAAGTAACATCCAAATTTCTCCTAGCGGAAAATTGTGTTTTTGAAAATGCTTCAGGCAAAGTCCAAAATCCCGAAACTCTACTAACAGAAAAAAAAGAAAATGAGGTTGTCCACTTTTGACGCCCACACGCACGTGTTAAGTACATGCACTTGCGAATAGATCTAATGTGTGCAGGAAGTAGAATGCAGACTTGCACCTTTAACCCCATGATCACTCATGGACAAGTTAACATCAAAACACGCCCCCAAATTCCGTGCAAAAGTAGCAGGTCTAACCATAGAGGAAGGACACTAGAGTTTGAACTGCCCGGGCTTTAACATCTGGCCAATTTATATACCGCTTTCTAGCATGCCTGGTACGTCTGTACCCTATGATCGCCGCCGCAATTTGTCGCTGGTAATCTACAAACTCAAAACTTTGTGCACTGAGGTAGAGGACAATGAATGTTTATGCATTTGTTGGTGCTTGATATGATCTCACGGCAACATCAAATTTAACGCTTGCGCAGTTACTTGCATTATTATGTGTGCCCTAAATCTACATGTGCAGTCATTGCCCATAATGAGAGCTTTCTTCTGGAGTTATTTCGGGACTAAATAGCCTGGTTGTTTACAAGATTTTGTGTTTTGTTTGAATCATTTTTATTATGGTATTTGCACAAAGGAGTATTTTATGAGATTTCACGATCACTCCCTGTGATAAAATAGCGCATTTTGTTACTTATGAATTTAGCTTTCCAGTAACAGTCAACATTTTGTTGGCCAGTCTTAGCCAAATCTTTGAACACTGATGTATTGGAGGGAGGAGAAAAAAATACAAACTTTGCATGGGTAATGGAACAATGTATCAAAATTTAAAAAGTTTATTTACGATGGCAAAAGTAGATCTGATATCAGGGATGTTTCTCTCTCTGTTTTCTAGTCACAACAATAATTTGTATTTAATTGTAAGCAAAAAATACAAGGATTGCTAGGATATTATTGGCCCCGCTTGTCCGACTAAGATGCAGGCAGTGATCAGGCATTTTTGGAATGTTTTCTATTATTCGTCAGACTTGGTGACGACCATCATTGAACACTTTGAAGTGCCAGAGTTGCAACTCCTTCTGTGTCCTTCCTCTGTGGTCTAACTAGAGATTCTCCAACCTGAACCCCATCAACCTTAACTTTAACTAATTGCTGACGAGTACCAATGACCAAGCATTCTGATTTGCTGTCACTAAGGAATAGGCCACTTGTTGTCATCCAAGAAAGTAAATCCTTTACACATGACTCCATAACAGACAAAGATGACACTTGATTTCTGGCTAGATCAGATGAAAATCAAATATAAAGCTGTGTGTCATCCACGTAACAATGGACCTGAAGATTATGGGATTTTACAATGTCAAAAAGTTCACTTGTATAAAATAGCAAGGGGCCCAAACAAGAACCTTGTGGAACACCCCCATACAAGGTCATGCATATCCGATTGTTAATTAATACATGCTGAGAATTCCCAGGCAAGTATGACTTGAACCACTCGAGAACAATGCCGTCAATTCCGAACTTTTTCCTCAGAATGCTCAAGAGAATACTGTGATCAAGTGTGTCAAAAGCAGAGCTTAAATCAAGCAAAAGAAGTAAAGTAACCTGTTTATTGTTCATAGCCAGTAGTAAGTTATTTTTTACCCTCAGTAACGCAGTTTGAGTACTATGAAACTTACGATATGCTGACTGAAATGAAGGAAACAGATTATGCGAAGTAAGATGCAATTGCAATTGATCTCAAACAATTTTCTCAAGTACATGTATCTCTGAGATAAACTGTAAATTGTTAACCGGCACCTAAACCCCCTTTTTAGGAGAGGAAACACAACAGATGACTTCTAGAGTTCTGGAAAACTTCCCGATTTTAAGGAAACATTCATGATCTGAGTGATAAAGGGTAAAACATCCAAGTAATCCATCAACAAATGCGTAGGAATTGGATCTAACAGGCATGACTTTTCGATGAACCATTAACAGTTTTCTTCACACAATCTTCAGTGACATGATCGAAATCAGAAAGACGTGGAAAAACCAACATTTCAGGTGAATTTTGAGTCCAACATCTAAACTGATCAGCACTAGACAAGCTACGACGAATGGAATCAACTTTACTCACAAAAAATAAACCTATGTCATTGGCAAGTTGAAAATCATTAACACGTGGGGTAAAACTGAGGTATGGATGTTACAAAGAGATTTACTAGTCTTGAAAAACCGCCTAGGATCACTGCTGTTCTAAGTAATAAAATTATTATAATACTGACGAGATTTATTCATAAGTAAAATTACCCTGTTCCTTGTACGCTTGAAAAGGATAAGATCACATTCTTGTTTGATCGCTCGCCATTTTCTCTCATACTTTCTCCGACACTGCTTCACTGATTTATTGTCATCATTGGGCCAAGGAGCCCAAGGTCGCACAACGGTAGTTTTCATTACAACAGAAGCATGATCAGTAAGTGAGGAACGGAGAGTGGTATCATAAGACGAAAATTAAATAATGAAAAATTAACATGTAAAATATAAATACAATCAAAATATACATGTGAATACAAACAAAAAATATCAATACAAAAACTATAAAAAAAAACAACACCACAACTGACAACTGAAATGACCAATAGAGGTGGCAATTTTATCCATCTCTGCGCACGGTTGGATGATGTCAACCATACGACTGTTGTTACGAAACTCATCGAGTAAGGGGTGAACCCAGCTTTTATCCCTACTATCTGTAGCCTCCTGTCAGATCGATCTCGGACTGTTCACTATCGAAAAGTCACCCGTGGTGTCCCCCATACCCAGGGCACAAATTAGGGCCAGTTCTTTTTTTGAATAATTCTGTACGTAGATGATCCCAGCCTTGTTGAGGTGATTCCCAAAGGTGAACGGTCAAATCTACAGACAAGTCACTCACAAATTTGTGCAATTTAAATGATATGAAATTAAATCCTCTTAAATATCAATCTTTAAGATGTCTTTTCTGCGTAATACCGTACCCCGTACGGTTGGAAGTTAACGGTTTGCAACTTAAAGTCGTTTCGTCTCTAAAACTTCTTAGGATCACAGAACAGAATAATAGCGCCTTTCCGAAGGCTGGGGTCAGCTGCAGACACACGGAAGAAGATAGCCAAGAGAGCGCTTCATTATCCTGCATTCTGGTTGATGGTGACCACAGGTTCCCGAAAAGCTTTCCATGCATATAAAGTAATAAGTA